TTGAATTGAATTGAATTTCAAAATGCATCGTGTGTTGGGTTTTTCTCTGTATCTATGAAGCGCCTTGAGGCGACTTTTGTTGTGATTTGGCGCTATATAAATAAAATTGAATTGAATTGAATAACTCACTTGAAGACAAGGCTTTAGTTACCTCTATTTTTAATAGCTCGAAGAGCTACTTTTGTCCTGTGCTTAAGTTTTCATCCTGATTATTATCACTTAATTATTGCCAGTTAACATAAAGAAAATTGTTGCTGGTTATTATCTGTTAATAGGGAAATAAAATAACCTTACTGTCATTGATCAACAAACCCATACAGACCTGCAGAGCAAGATTACACTGCTGGAGCACAAGCGTGATGTTGACCTCAGGGTCATCTCTCCATAAACACATGTATGTATTCATCTCTTTCTGCACTGCTGGGTCTGGTGCACCGTCGCAACGCATGTATCGCTCCCACTGGACACAAAGCATACACTGTGCGTTATCAGCTGCCAGAAATCCATCAGGGAAGAAGAAAATGTCCATATCTACTGGACAGAATGCTTGTGGACGCACACCTTGGCTATCTCCACAGCTTCAGTTTTCCATTTGGTTACTGCAGTATGATTCTCCTCCAGTAGATGGTGCAGTTCCTTCAACTCGGCCTCTCTGCGCTCTAGGTCCTGTCAGGGAAAGCGATCCAAGCACACAAAGCATTCCCAAGTACTCTTCTGTGTATGTACATTTCTTCTTTTATGCTTCATTTAGGGTTAATATTAAACTGGGCTCTTACCTTCAGCTCAAGCCTTTCCACTTCCTCCTGCTTTCTCTCTCTTTCCACTCTCTCCTGTTCTTCTCTTTCTGCCCTGATCAGGGCTTCCTCTACAATATGCATGTTACAGATACAGTGCTAACAGAGAACACATCCACCAACAAGCACCTATCTCATGAACAGCAACATAGATCAGTTGGGATCCCTCACTTCCTGATACCCTGAACAGTTTCTTCTCCAGATTGACAACACTAACGGCGGTGCAACCGTTGCTCCCCTTCAACTAGAGGAGCAGCATCAGCGTGCAGCTCCACTAAGTGACTTGTTCTCTGAAGAGAACTAACACTAACAAAGCTGCAAAACCAGAAAAGGTGTCAGGAAGGACATGTGCTGACCAGCTAGCTGGGGTCTTTTTGGACATTTTCAATCTGTCTCTGCAACTTTACACTATCCCTGTCTGCCTTAGGTCCTCCATCATTGTGCCTGTGCCAAAAAAAATCAGCTGTGGCCTGCGTAAATGATTACTGCCTAGTCGCACTGACCCCAGTCATCATGAAGTTCTTTGAGAGGATCCTCCAAAGACGGACCTCAATTCAGTATAAGCTGGCAGACTGCAAAGGAAGGCCAGCCATATTGCTGCTGACCCCACTCACCCGGGACACGAACTGTTCATACCTTTGCCATCTAGGAAATGATATAGATACATAAAGACCACCACCACCCGGCTGAGGGACAGCTATTTTTCCAAGAGCTGTGAAAGCCATCCGTCCACCTGCCCTTCCCCATGGACCACCTGCACGAACACTCACATCCAGTCACTTTACTCTAAAGACTGCTAAAGACTTCTGCATTTATCTTTTTTTAAGTAAATCTTATTTATCTTTTCTGTATTTTCTTTATTACCGAGAGCACCATTGCAATTTTTGTTACGTTCTAGCAACATAATAACAATGAATAAATCTTGAGAATCTTGTTATATCAAAAAGTATAACAGATTCATTTTTTAAAAGTCAATTTCCCTTTAAAGACTCAGTGTCAGAAACGCCACCTACACTGGAGGTTTAAATGAAGAGAGACCGCTCACCTTCCTCTCGAAGTCTCCTCTCCTCCTCCTCTTGCTGCCGCTTTGTCCTCTGAGCCTTGGACACCTTACCGGCCTTCTTCTGTGGCATCAGAGCAATGCAAGTGTAGTTTAACAGTGACAGTTCAGTGTGTACCTACTAGCAAATGGATATATTGCTGAAGAGAACGAAGCAGTGAGAAAGAGAGTAAGGAAGCTTCCTGTGTGTATCTTGAGCTGAGTTCTCTGTGTCTAATTGTCAAAGAGAGACGATGTCCTGACTGCCTGTTGCTCATACCTGTTGTTTCTTGGGAGGCTTTATTTCACAGGAAAAAAAGACAGAGAGAAAGTTACAGAATGTCATGTTTCAAAACAGAAATTCAAGAAACTATGTATCTATCTATATCTATATACACTATAGATAGATATAGAGAGGTGGGGAGTAACTAAATACAAATATTTTGTTACAGTACTTATGTAGAAAATCCAGGTACTTTACTTAATTATTTACTTTTCTGACACACTTTACTTTTACTGCCTACATTTCCAGAAGTAGTGCAGGTGACCTTTTGTGTTAGCGGAACTTCATAATCTAGCTAGCGCTAAGTGGCAGGTAATTTCAAATTCAACATTTCTATCAGCTAACACACAAACTGTTTATTTACGGTTTTATTTCACAGGGAGAGAAAAGAGTGTGAAACAACTTCACACTTAAGCTGATGATGTTTAGATTAATTCACTGAATTCACTGAACTTTATACTATCTACTGTAAAGACAATATAATGAGTAGAGGAGTGGTGTCCGTGTCAGTGTAGAGGATGGACATCACCCAGGACATCTTGTGAAAACTGCTGACATCTTGCTAAATTCAGTTGTGTAAATTCACAAAGAGCAGCAGGTCAGCTGATCACAGCATGTACACAAATAAAATCTACTGAATCTCACATTAGAAATTATTATGAGGTGTAATTCTTTTCCCTTTGCTGAGCCACTCCACAGATCGTAGTGTCCCCCACCTGCTGAATTTCACTTTAAAATGAGAACAATCAAGAGTTAATGTTTAAATGTGGAGGCAACAGAAAACCGCTTCTTTTTTTTTTTTTTAATATTCCTTTCCACTGCATTGGGTCCTATATAACACATTCAAACTGTGCATATTCACTGGGTTTATAATTTATGTTATTGTATTAATTTAGATTATATAGTAAATAGTTAAATAGTATTTATTTATGTTATCATGTACTAATAGTATAATGATATTATATTAATATAGCAAAAGGCTCCGTTTCCTTGTTAGAATTGTCCTACAAAGAGCTACTTTCTTTCTTGGAGTACATTTCAGAGCCTGTACTTTTCCACTTTTAAGTAAAACAGTTGCTTCAGTGCTTCAACTTTTGCTGGAGCATTTTTTAACCCAGGTATCTGTACTAAGTTGTTCTACTTAAGTAAAGAACGTCTGTACTTTTGCCACCTCTGTGTGTGTATATAAAGAGAGACAGAGAGAGAGAGAGAGAGAGTGTCGAAGTTAAGAACTACGAAACTGTGTTTCGTACAGTAAACTAATAAGATACTATGTAATTGCGCTAACTGATGGCCTGTAATCATATAGACCTTTTAAAATATAATATTTAAGCTGGTCTATTATAAGGAAATAATAGAGGGGAAAAACCCTCACCATATTCATCCGCGCGTCTGGGTAACCGTGGCAACCTATACGCATGCGTACTTGCTATGTTTTTATTTGCGACAGAACGACACGACGTGCGACAACGTGCACTACGGAGTTGTCCCTTGCATTCATAGGTAAGGACGCAAGGAAAAGACATTTTTCTCTTCATTGGCGTACATAACATAACACGTGTAAGTGTGAATTTGTTGCGCTTGGCATAAATGCAGTGCTCTACATGCTATTTCGTAAGCTAGCTGCTAAGCTAAACTTAATGTTGTGTAATGGTTTCTGTGTGCTCTCTCTCCTGACCTTCCCTTTCTCCTCTTCTCCTTTCAAAAGTGTGAAAGGCCATGGCCAACCCTTTAAAAACTGAAGTTATCAGGCTGTATAAAAATGTAAGTAAACTGGTGTTAAGAGAATCAACGCTGGGTGGTGTGCAATGCTGCAGAGCTTTAAAGATGTGTCTCTCCTCTCCAAACAAGCTCCTGTATCTCGGCCGTGAATACCCTCAGGGAGCAGCGTACTTCAAACAGCGCCTGAAGTCAGCCTTCATGAAGAATAAAGACGTTACCGACCCGGAGAAGATCAAACAGCTGGTGGCCAGGGGTGATCATGTCATTAAGGAGCTAGAAGCTCTGTATTTCCTCCGAAAATATCGGGCCATGAAAAAAAGATACTATGAACCCGAAAAATAATGGCACACGCTGATAGCTCCAAGTGGTTTTCCTGGATTACAGTGCAAGCAGTGTACATGTGGTAATCGGTTATTTATCAGCCTTTCGGATTCACAAACACACCTTTTAACACCTACCGGGTCCAAAACAAAGAACAGAATTTCCAACAGCTGCTCCTTTATTAAACTCAACTAAGGTTGCCTCTGAAAGGGAAATAAAATCCTCATCTCTGGGTGTTGCAAAGCGATCATCGCTGTCATTGATATTTTGTACCTAAGGCCACTGTTTCAATTTCATATACTGTTTGTAAGCCCAGAATATGTTTTATGCATTCTTTGTCCTATTGTCACATTTTAGTGTATTTAAAACAAATGCTTCACCAGATGAGTTACCCAGTGTTTACACCAAGGTGTCCAAATTGTAACATTGATAATTTGTACAAGAGGTTGTGTACTTTTTCTTTTTCTGTTGCAGCTGTTTTTCTGTCTACAGACTGAAGCTTCTTTAATGTAATATGTGAGTTTTAGAATGTATTTCAGTGTATATATTTGTAAATACATGCTCACGTTTTTTGAGAAATAAGTGTACATGGGAATAGAATCATGTGCTGTTACCCAAAAGGCAAACATAAATGTTATATAGATGTACAGATTTCTTAGAGTGGTGTCTCGTGTCATAATAAATCACAAACACAGCTTAGTGTTACTTATTCCTGCTATTACAATCAACCTAAACCCTGCAGATCTAGTGTCAGTCTGCATGGATTCTGAAAAAGGAAGTTTTCATGAGACTATGAAATCCTATGACGCAGTACTTGGCATGAATCAATAGGATGTAGACCCACCTTTAGCAGCAATAACTTGAAATAATGTTTTCTTGAGGACTTATTCAGTCTCTCACATTCCTGTGGAGGAATCTTGGCTCCTTCTCTTTTCAGTATTGCTTTGGTTTATTGAGGTTTGCAGTTATTTATTCATGCAGAGCTAAGATCCTGCTGCAGTGTTTTAATTGAGCTGATGTCTAGACCTTGGCTGGACCATTGCAACACTTGTCTCTTCTTTTTAGGCCATTCTGTTATAGATTAGCTGGTGTTATGTCATGACCCAATTTGGTCCAAGCTTTAACTGCCGGGCACACAGAAGGTTTCATATCGTACTCTAAAATGCTTTGGTAAACAGAGGAGTTCATTGTGACTCTGACTGCAAGGTGCCCGGGTCGTGACCACTGGGCTTGACAATTGTCATGAGGTGGTTGTGTTGAAGTGCTATGTTTAACTTTTGCAAAATGCGGAGCTGCTGTGTTTCTGAAGGACAATGGTCACGTCGTCTTGTGACATTTGAGTTAATAAACCGAAGCTAAAAAAAACTTTATGACTCAGTAATAAATAGCATCAAAACTACCTTGAATGTATTCATTGCCTGTTTGTGTGTATTGTATTCTGTGGATGTTTCAGCAAAGTCTGCATTGCCCTCCTGGTCAGAGAAATTCAAACATTCCAGAAAGAGAGGAACACTTATGTTTGAACTATTTCGACTATTCCTTCCACAGCATGTCTTTATCCTGTCTTCCTTCTCTCACCCCAACCGGTCGCAGCAGATGGCCCCGCCCCTCCCTGAGCCTGGTTTTGCTGGAGGTTTCTTCCTGTTAAAAGGGAGTTTTTCCTTCCCACTGTTGCCAAAGTGCTTGCTCATAGGGGGTCATATGATTGTTGGGTTTTTCTCTGTATGTATTATTGTAGGGTCTACCTTACAATATAAAGCGCCTTGAGGTGACTGTTGCTGTGATTTGGCGCTGTATAAATAAAATTGAATTGAATTGAAATGTTTATTATGTGGCTTTTTATTAATAACGTGTTAATGTAAACATTACAAACATGCAATCATCATTGTACACAAGTAGATATTTGAAAGAAGTGCTTTCTACTTTTTACTGAATCACTGGAAAAATAAAAGCACAATTGTCTCACTGACAACTCAGTTCCTTTGGTTTCATTTCTTATGAAGTAAGGTATTATTATTTATTATTTTTTATTAACCTTTATTTAACCAGGAAAATCACATTGAGATTAAAAACCTCTTTTTCAAGGGAGACCTGGCCAAGATAGGCGGCAGCAGGTGTCTCACAGTTACAGAAATTAGTCAAACACAGGCAGCAACAACACACATGCAACACTAAGTGAAAGAATACAAATAAAATAAAATTCAACTAAAATAAATAAAAAAATCAGTTAAAATGACAATCAATCGAATTGAAACAGTTGCATGTTATGGATTTGGCCTCAAGGATTCGTAGTTTAGATTTAAAAGCACTTAATGAAATTAATTCAGTCATTTTCCTTCTGCAGTTTGTTCCAAGCTGAGGGTGCTAAATGGACAAAAGCTCTTTTACCAAGTTCAGTTCGGGCAAATGGAACAGAAAGCAACAAGTAACCATGCGGGCGAAGAGAATACCGACCAGCATGTTTCATTACAAACAGGGAACATATATAAGAAGGCAGCAACCCAAGTATCGCCTTACATATAAAACTGTATAAATGAGAGTTTCTCCGACTTACCAAAGCAGGCCATCCTACCTGAGAGTATAACTCACAGTGGTGAGTCTGAAATTTACTGTTAGCGATGAACCTCAGAGAAGCACGATACACAATATCAACCATTCAAAGACATTGAGCAGAAGCCTTCATATATAGAATATCACCATAATCCAGCACAGGCAAGAATGTTCCATCAACAAGCCGCTTCTTTGTATTAAAAGAGAAACACAACTTATTTTGAAAATAAAATCTCGGTTTTAACTTCAGGTTTTTCACAGGTGATTACAATCCTGGATTTGAGCTTTGCAGCAGCTCTGTCTTCAGCTGTATCGGTCGTTAAAAAGATGAGACACAGGTATCGTTGTCAATTTCCTCATGTGCAGGATTATTGATTCCATCCTCCTTGTTTGGCTGACCAACATTGTCTGTTCCTCCCATGACCTAAGGAAGG